GAGCTTTCTCTTGGTGACTAATGGCTCACTAGTTTGTGATCATGCATCAATGTGATTTCATTTAGCAGGAAAGACAACGGGGCAGGGGAGTAACCTCCCCTCCCAGCCCTGTGACAACTGGCACTGGTTCTCACCACGGCCGCTCATCCCGTCTCCTTGTTTCTGTGGTGGATGGACTCCTCCCACCTACACACTTCAGACATGTCCTGTCAGAGATCACAGACAGCAGATGTTTCATTTTCTTATGCTAGTTCAAAAGGGAAATATACCAGCTGTAGGCCACATTGCAAAACTGAGTGCTTACTAAATTCAACAATAGAAAAAAGTCGGTTCCCCATTCTTTTTCAAGCAAAGAGAGGGAAGACAACCAGTTCAGTGTAACATGGACACTCCCAGATCCTTCCAAGAACTGAATGAGTTCTTCCATAAAGAATGAAAACCCAGCCAGAGATTTTGCTCAGTGGTCCCACCACCTGCCTCCCTAAGCACAAGGACCTGAATTCAATCTCCGGTACCAAAAAAAAAAAAAAAAAAAAGAATGAAAACCCAGCAAGATAAGGTAACACTGGCCTTGTGCGGTCTTTCCTGGTAACTCCATCTCTAGTATCTATTTCTATATCTATGGATTTGTCTAATCTTTGACCCATCTTTTTGTCCATAGCTTCTCATCATTTAGCATCTTTATTTATCTATAAACTAAGTCTATATAGTATATGCTATATAGTACCTACCCATCTATATCTTTGTTGTTACTTTACATTTTCTTTTACATTCACAGGTTGGGAATGCATTCCATTGGCTTATACCTGTGTCACTAAGGGTATCAAGCATGGTCCATAGTGTAATAGCCTCATGGGCCTCACGGGGAGAGTCTGAGAAATGGCTGTGATGGCCACTCAGAGAGACGCACTGTGTGAGTGAGGTCAGCACACTGAGCTGTAGGAAGAGGGAAGGGGGAGAAGAAAGCAGAGACAACAAAGCACCTGGAGACGTGGTGATGGGAAAGAGAGGATAGAATCTGGTTCATCTGGAAAAGTGTGTGCAGGAAAAAGTTGAACTATTGTTTGATTTCACTTGGAGGTTGTTTTGCAACAAGTAGTGGATGCAAACTGGAACTCTGCCCAGAGCACCTGCAGTTCAACCCTAAACACTGCAAGTATGGTTGCACTGTGTTCCCAGAATGAGGTGATGCTGATGTTGTGCTTACGCTCAGGACACAAGCTCAGACGGGTGTGTGTCTGTGTGTGTGTGTGTGTGTGTGTGTGTGTGTGTTGCCAGTTTATATTAGGAATGGGAATGGTGGGGCGTTGATTGATGATTTTCTTTGACACCAAGTTATTGTTAAGAAAGGAACGGGTGATAAAAAGAAAGAAGAGAGAGAGGAAAAACCCACTCAGAACTGAAAGAAGACAGCTCAGCACAAGATGCCTCTATAGTTCTTCATCGCCCCTTGGAGAGTTTGCTTTTCCATTTATACATTGCTATCGCAGGTGGAAAGAACTGAGAATTTTAGCTATTATCCGACCAGGATTAAGAATCTGACTTCTACACCGAGGTGCCAATCTAACACACTTTCGTCTTTGTCCTCAGTTTTCTAAACACAGCCCATTAAAAGTGGTTTTAATTGGCATTTTGTTAGAAGGTTAATGCAGACTTACCAAAAATAACTTGTGAGAGAAGCAGATAAGAACATAAAGAGAAAATACATTCTAACTGCACAAATTCTTTCCTTTCATTCAGGCCTCTTTTCAAAAGCAGTTTCAAAAATAGTGGCTCAATAACTTAGCCTTCGGCAGTCTTTGTCTCTCCGGTAGTCTCTATATTCCTTGAGGGATCCCTTTCACTCCTGCTTCTATTCTTCTGCTTGTGTTTTGCAGTTAGGCTTTCTTATTTACTCAGCCAATACTATTTGATGATGCATCACTTATTTCTCCTCGTGATGCACCATCTCACATTGTTCGATTCTTTTCTGTTTACCCCTGCCTACATTTTCATGTTCATCCTTTGAGAACTGTTTATGAATCCTGTGTCTGAGAGGTTTCACGATGGCCAACTTTTATTCTTTCCACAAACAGAAAGCTCCTCATTGCCTAGCTAGGGCAGGAAACAAAGGGAAAACATAAATATAATCCCTATCCCCAAAGAGTTTACTGTCTGGTGGGTGAGACAGATAAACAGAAAATTACAGTAAAACTCGGTATGTGAGATATTCAGGATCTATATGGAGACAGGGAAGGAAACAAAAGAACACAGCCCAGGAGAGAGGAAGGTCTTCTAGCAAGAGCATCAGGTAGCTCAACTTGCCCGAAGTTGCTCTCCTATTTCCTGTAACGTTTCCTTTGTATATACCTTAGCATTATACTCATGTAATTACCTTTCTCCAGAAGCTACGAAGAAGTCATTAAAGCTGAAATTAGAATCCACTGCATTTGGTTTCTGTCTCTCTCTAGCTTGGTTCTTCTTCCTGCTCTGCCTTGTACTCTTCCGGTGTCATGTGCCCAGCTCCTCGAGCACCAACACACCCGGCCTTCTGCGTCCGGAGCAAGCGGGGCTGGTGAGGAGGCTGCCAGCGTGTGACTCATGGGAAGCAAGGAGGCAACACACACCACAGTCGCCCCACTGTCACCATAGCAACCGTCGCATCTATTGAACACCTAGCCAAGGTGTACAGTGCGCAGCGTGGGTCTCACTGGTACTGTCAGGGAAGCCTATGAAGTTGGGGGCGTTCTCTTTGCTTTGCAGATGAAGAACTGGGTCCTTAGTGAGTCCTGACAGCTACCCAAGCTTCACTTGAGGCAAATGCTGGGTTAAGCAAACCTGGAGACCCCACAGTCTGCCTCCGACGGGCTCAATAGCGAGTCTTGGAGTGTGGCTCAGGACCGCTGCTTCCTGGTTCAGTTCCAAGCCTTGGCTGTGAGGAAGAGGGGAGGTAGAGTGGGCAGAGCTGGGCAGTCACCCTCCATTCCCAGCCTGCAGCCAGGAGGACCGCTCGGCCCTCTCTGCTCGCCATCTGCACTAATTGTGTTTGACTGTGGAGCCACGAAACCTCTCCTGCACAGGCAGCTTTGCTCAAGATCTCCTGAACACAGAGCACCCAGAGGTCACGTGCACCCAGGCCTGTGCGGTGCCCCAACCCGTGCCCTTCGCTTTGTAAGCCTGCAGGCAGCATCCGGCTGAAATTCTGAGTGTCTGAGTCTGCCTTGTTTCAGTTACACAGGACCCACTGGCTGGGTCCGCAATACACAGCCCAACTTGATGACCCGTACTGGTCCCAAGCCCCAGTCTCTTTACCACTTTGTGCATTCTTACAGACGGACAAGTAGATTGCTGGCCCAAAACAGGGTCCGAGGCTCTTTTAAATACCCATTGCTGAGCTGGGGATTTAGCTAGGTGGTTCTGCCACCTGCCTTACAAGTGCAAGGTCCTAAGTTCGATCCCTGGTACCAAAGTAAATAAATAAATACCCATTACCGCCATAGACCTCATAAAGACCAACTCACAAACTCTCTTTCCTAGCTAGCCTCCTATCTTCAAACAGAATAGTTTGTCAGAATAGAACATGAAACTTGAGCCCAGCTGATTGGGGAAAACCAACCCGTAGTCCCTTACCACTTGCTCATTTCTAAGCCTCTGCAGGCCTCAAGCTCTTGTTCCTCTGTTTTATCCGTATCTCCTGCTTCGTTTTATTACTTACACTTTCGGAACCTGACACTGACTCTTTGACGGGAACAAGGCCTGACACCCCAGAACCAACCCTTAACACATGGAGCGCATGCCCATGATGTGAACCCCAACAAGCTCTCTGACCCTTGCTCCTACCACCACCTGCTTGGACTTCCATGAGCACCTCATGATATTTAGTCAGTGCCAATTTTTATTTCTCGAGAGGCTCTTGTTTTTTTAAACAGCATTGTTGATATCTGATTGATGTACTGTGATCTGCACCTATTTCATGTATATGAATTGAAGACTTTGTACATAGGCACAGAGTCGTGAAACCATGACCATTGTATCAGGAGAACAAAACACGCTCATCATCTGCAAATGTGACTTCATGTCCTTTATTTCTCGTTGGTGCCATTTGATAAGAATACAGTATGAAAGCTACTCTCAACAGATATTTTAAGTTCATAACACAGGACCGCTGACTACAGGCACTATGGCTGACAATGCATCTCTGGAATTTATTTGCCTTGGGTAACTGAAATTTCATACACTTCTCTTTTCTGCTTGAAAAAAAAATGTATTCCTTCATCAAGTCCAGGGTTTAATTCACTTTTCCCAGGAAGGCAATACCGCCCATCTCTTTGAGGGTAATGTGTGTCTTTGCTATCTACCAGTGGTCTTTATTATCCCTACTCCTTTCAGGATTTTCTAGCATTTCGCTCCCTTGCCCTCCGAGTTCCATCATGTGGCTCCATCAGTAGGAATACGAACTGAAATCATAAGCACTTGGCCAGTTTATTATATCCAGAGCTATAACTGATGGACCTGGAGGCCCTCGTGGCTTTAGATAACTCTAATAGATCATGGCTCATTTTTCCTACAGAACCAGCTCATGATCTTAGAGGACTTTGTAAAGTGATGCTCCAGGCAACCACCTCCAATCAATACGAAATGGGATATGAACGTCTGCTCATCAAAACATTCCATATGAAGAGAGAGAAGGCAAGTCCCATCTTGGGCGAAGATATTTGCAATTGGCATAACAAAACATTGACATTGAGATTTTACAAAGAATGCCTACAAATGAAGAAAAGAAATCGCACCTTTGTACTTTGCTCTAGGAAGATTCTGAAGGGGAAAAAAGACGAGTCTTGTGCTCAGGACGGCCTTCTTGGACAGATAGCATGGTGTCATGGGAACACACAAGTGTTTGGTGTCAACAGCAGCTGTGAGTTGGGGTTTTGGCCCCACCTGGCCTCTGCCACCTGCTTCGTCCTCCTTGAGCCAGTTGATTTCAGGCTCCTGCTGGCAACTTCCTGTCTGTGTGAGTGGAGGTGGGGCTTCCGCCTGATCTGGCTTCTCCTTAGCCACTGTGCTTATCAAAAATAGATGATGTCCTTAGAGTCCTAGGTCCTTCCAAGGGAGCCACAGAGGGGACAAGCTGCTAGAATAAGCACTGGTGTTAAACATCAGGCATCTTGACCATGAGGAAAAATCTGCTGGTTGTGCTCATTACAGCAGCAGTGATTTGGGTCAGCACAGAAGGCGCTTGGTGAATTCCTTCAGAACTGCTGCTCCTTCCATGGTGAGTCTATGAAACTCTCCTTTTATTCCACTTCCAAAACCTATGCAAATGACACTGTTGTCAAAAGACTGGCCCCCATTACAAGGGACCAGAACTCTCTAATTAAGAGGAAAAGAAAGAAAGATTGAGCTGGGTCATGTCAAGATTCCCTCACTGGACAGTACAGTGCTGCTGGCTTTTCTATAACTTTCCAAGAGTGCTCAGTGTTGTTCCAGAAGCAGAACTCTGGAACTCTAAGGTTATTGAACGTTCAGAGCATTGCATGCACTGGGAACTCAGACATCCCAGCTTCGGGCTTGGCAGATCCTGGAATTGGGAGCCAGTTCCTTAATCTGTTTAGCTAATTTTTTTTATTTATGTACCAGGGATCAAACTCAGGACCTTGTGCTAGCGAGGCAGGCAGTGGAACCACTGAGCTAAATCCCCAGCTCCTCTTTAGCTAATTTAATTACAGATCCAGGAGAAGAATATCTCTTCATGCAGTTGTTTTAGGGTTGAAATGAAGTACTGACTACAAAACCCTAGCAAAGTGTAGTCACCTAGGATATGCTCTTGAGGATTAGTTTGTCTTCTTCCCATACAACTACTGTTAAAGAAATATATGAAAGAAGGAGGGAAAGAAGGGAGAGAGGGAGGGAGGGAGGAAGGAATGTAGTTATATACTGGAGTGGCAAGCCACAGAATAATCTTTTAGTGTACTCCGAGGAATAATCCTTGTCAGTAGGCATCCAGACCCAACTCTTCAGGAGACAGGTGCTTAGGAATGGTGGGCTCAGTACATCACCCCTCTGGGGGCACAGGCAGAGCTACAAGTCTCTGTAGGTCTCTACTCTTCAGCGTGCCAGCTGAGAAGGGATGCAAGGCACTGGGTGAATAACTCCTATTCGCCACAACAGCCAGCAAGAAAGCAGGCAGCACAATGCTGCCACATGGCAAAAGCTCAGATTGAATCAGAAAATGATTGGGCCTTTGAAAAATACAGATTTATGGTGGACCAGGGGCAGCTAGAAATGCTAATGGTATAAAATACTGTTATCTTTCATTGGTGGTGCCAGGCATTTAGAAAAAGCATTACCTGAAAACTGAGGCCCAGAGACATTCCCCAGTTTAGCAAGTATAACAAAGTGAAGGCACAAGGAAGCAGGGATTTCCTTGTCTCCAAGGTCATTTCCAAGGTCATCCCCAGACAGACAGACAGACACAGAGCCTGAGTGGGCAGTGGAAGTGAGTGGCTGAGCTGTGGTCAGGGATGTCCATGGTGGTGGCACCTGTAGGCTTGGGGACCAGAGGAAGGGCAGATGTCCCCCAGAGAGAGACAGTGCTAGGGTCAGCTGTGGCAAAGCCCAGGGGAGATGTGGAAGTCAATGCCATAATCACAGCCATACATAAAAGCGGGTGGTGGGTGGATTATCTCCCCTTTTCTGGGAAGGTATGAGTTAATCTTCTTAATCCTGGCTCATGCTCTCTGAAATCTCTTGCACAAGGAGTTTCATATAATGGAACACTGCAGTGTATACCATCCTATCCTCACCAGCCGGAAAGGAGTATCCTAAATCCCATTCTTCTTAAGATTATGCTGGCAAAATTATATTAGCAGAGATAATTGTCTGACACCTCAAGGAACTGATGTTTCAAAAATAGAAACTCATAAGGAGGGAGGGAGAGAGAAAAACACCTGACTTACTTTTCTTCCTGTGGCTATTTATTCTGAAGATAAGGTGGCTTTGGTCCTCCAATGGCGGGCGTATTTATACACATTCATTTATAACGTGCAAGACACCATCTGTAACTTCTTAGTTTATCAGTTCTCACCACTTCTGTCTGTCTTCTAAAATTGCAGTCTCCCTTGGCCTTCCTGGAACTTCAGTGTGGCCCGGAGTATAAAGGGCACCTGGCCCCACTCAGTGCCTGGTCTGGTGCCCTGTATTTACCCACACTTGAACAAAGCCACTCAGTGACCCTGGGAAACCCCCTCCCCCCTCAGCACGGCTTCTCCAAGTACAGTGTGATCCTTTTTTCTCCATTTCCGAAACTTGCCAAGCTCCTCTCTCCAGGCTGCTACCTCTGTGTGCTCCCCAAATCTTCAAATCCTCTCTGCCTTTGGTGCAGTTCTGAGGACAGCTTTGGTGGCCGCACAAGGACACACTAGTACATTTTCCCAAGTTGTACAGGGTGGTTTTTAAACAGAGCTATTATTACAAATTAAATTACATAAACTCATGAAAACTGTATTAAACAAAGGTAATAAATACTCAAAATTCATTTCTGTCCGATCGTTTGCACCACGTTGTACCACAGCTGTGTCCTTAGGGTCATTTCTGTATGACAGAATTGCAGTGCTAAATTGATCTTGTCTTCAACTTCACAAGCAGAAGCCCAAAATCGCTACGTTGCAACCAGCCTGTGGGGAGATCTATACCACGGAAGCTGGGAAAGGCATGAAGCTTGATGCTTTGGCTTTGTTTTTTACGCCCCCCAGAAAGAGTTCTTAAACCTTGTGGACCATACTTCTGAATCAAACTGGCTTCCACCTTTACTTTCTTGTGGATGTCTTCCAAGATCTCCAGTCTAGGTTACATTCGTATGTGGTGTGATTTCACAATATTGAATTTCTGTCATAAGAGGCTTTGCTTTTTTGTAGTATACATTGGTAGAAATGACAGCTGAATGTGTAGATTCTGCCTCATGTGAAAGCAGAATGCTTGTTGGATTCTGCGCTTTGTTATGTTGTCCCAGCAACAGAATAATGCTAACCCCATGAGACGTTCTCAGTAGGTAACTATAGAGTGAATAGCAAATTATCGGAAATATTTAACTTGTATTAGAATTTTTGAACCCTTCAAAAGAGAATAGTAATTATTATCATAACATATGAAGGAGAATTCCTCCCAGAAAGTAACTGTTTTGGTGGAGTGGAGGCCAAGTAAAACACCCATAAGATATTTGAGGTTAAAAGGAGTCCTGAGGACTTTGTGTAACAGGAACTGAGACACTAACTGTGATGAAAGAGCCGAGGAATGGGCTGTCTGATGGCGTGGGGCCAGAAGGACCAGAATCAGTGAGAGCCCAGGAAGGTGCGTGGCCAGAGGGTGTAACAGAAGCCGTCGGATGTTTGAAGTTTTTATGGACATGCAGTAATGACTCCTGACCTCAGTCTTCTTCCCTAAGTAGCCCTTAGTAAAGCCATACATACACAGACCCTATGTGGATGGGTCCTTGTGACTGTAAACTGAAGGAAGGGCCACATTTTGCACTAGATTGACACCACGTGGAATGGAGACAGAATGCACATTATTGGCAAAATATCATTAACTGAAATGGTCTCTACTTCCCTATTTCTACAAACAATACCCCCACTGGCATCTTTGTCCATGTCCCCTCACATATAGGGACATGGTTTTCCCTAGATCTATACCCAGGGATGGCACTGCTGGCCCACAGCAGGTAGACTTGACTCAGTTCAGGAAGTACAGCCTGACAGCTCTCCAGAATGATGAATACTGTAAATAGCTTTATCACTATTTCACAGAGGGAAAAACTATGAATTCGGACATTGAATAGACTGGCCCTTCTGTCCTGCCATTGACACAGTAAGTGAAGAATCAAGCTGAAAACCAGTCTGACTCCACCTTGCAGATCACTTAAAAAGCAATCTTTCAGTAGCTTTGAGTTCCAACACAGAATTTTCCATGACTCTCAAACTGGTGGTTTCATTAATTTCCCATTGATAGGACAAAATCCAGTACAACTTAAAGGAGGAAGGTTTATTTGGGCTCAAGGTTTCAGTCCATGGTGTGCTGGTACAAGTTAGAATCAAGCCATGAGCTCAATGCAGAATGAATGGGAGATAGACTCATGTGAACTGTAACCATACCTCCCTCTCTGACTAGCATGGGCCTCTCCTCTTACCTCATTTCACTGTGGATGTCCTGGTCTCCCCCAGTTTCCTTAAGATCCTCCAACTCAAACCCCAAATAATACACATCAGTTCTCCCATGAGGGCCTTCCTTCTTGTTGAACGTTTTAATCTCAGATAATTGTTGAAATGGCTTTTTGCCCCACCATCCCTTAGCTTTTCTGATGACTGCTGCTCACTCAGAGAGGAGGAGTTCCCTTCTCACCCAGGCTGGGGACCTGGGGAACAAGGATTGGGGTGACTGGAACTCTGGGTGCCTCTGCTCCTGCCTTGGGGGATTTCTATGAAAACCCAATTCTTCATCCTAAAAGCTATTTCTTCCCCAAACCCCCACCAGATTTATGCGTATAGTCATTCACTATTGAACACATCTCAGTACCAGCCACTGTAATAACTACTACGTATACACAGCAGTGGGCAACACAGATACAGTTTCCTGTTCCGGTAGGACTTGTGTTCTAGTAAGACAGGAAACGAACTAGACATGTAACTATCAAGTGAAGCATACAGTATTCCAGAAGGTGTTCTGAAGTCTAAGAACAGGGGAGGGTGGAGAAGGACAGGGATCAGGGTTCTGAAGATGGAGAGGGAAGGTTGCAGAGTTGAATGGTGTGGTAGCCCGGGCTCTTTGAAGAAGGCTACATTTGACCAGACTTGAGGATGAGGAGAGGAGTTGCCCAGGCAGATACTCGCCAGAAGAGCAATCCGAAGTGGACAGAAGAGTGAGTGCAAAGAAAGGGGATGGGAAGACGGGACTGTGATCAATATTTATAGGAGGGCAGTGGCTAGGTCCAAGAGAGACAGGAGACAGAGAGAGAGAGAGAGAGAGAGAGAGAGAGAGAGAGAGAGAGAGAGAGAGAGAGAGGAGGATACTTATAAACTACAGGAAAAATTTATGCTCCTATGTATGTGTGTGCACATGTATAGTAAGATATATATTTCTTTACTAATAAGTAATTATGCTTAAAGCATGCTGCCACATTATAGACCCCTGTTCTGAACTATCTTAAAAAATATCTGACAGACCCTGTACTGTCTTCATGGGAAAGAGTTCCTTGTTCAAAGGACTGATTACTAATTCCTG